ATTTATAATATGACAAATAATTCGTACATATTTTATAAGGTCATGTGAAAAAATAGTTTTCATAGTATATTTAAAATGCTTTAAATACATAACATTTATAAATGATACATACAATCGTGTATCATACATTTACATTTCAAGAAATTACTAACTATAATAGTAAGTTTCAATCATTAATAAAAAATCTTAGCATTATTTGAAATCAACTTCCTAATACTTGTTTCATAGAAGTATTGTAAGTAATGTAGTAAATTTTGCCACGAACTAGTAAGTTTTGACCATTAACCAAATTTACTATGCTATCAACAAGATTTACTATAATCTATAAAAACTTACCATTACTTGAACTAAACTTCCTCTCCGAAAAGTAAGTTTCAAATATAGAGTAATAATTTATTTTTTTTAAAAAGTAAGTTTCATATTTATTCCAATTTATTTTTTGAGACATAAAAGTTACCAATTTATCAATTTAACTTACTATTTTTTAAGTGAAACTCACTAACCAAATTTTTAGGTATTATCTTATTTAGGTGACTGGTCCAACATGCAATTAAATGGTTACTAAAAGTGTTTAAAACACAGTTTCATTACCATAACTATCATTACTTTAGACTTTTCCAAAATTTTAACGCAAAAAAATCAGTAATTATGTAATTTTGGTTCTGTCCCCCTATTTTCCTTTCAGACTTTTTCTTCTAATTATTTTCTTTTTGGATTAGTCTTTTATATTATTACACTATCAGTGTAAAATATTACATACATGAGCGAGCTCAATTTGCACAACATGTTTGATATTAACTTACATAATCTAGAATTGTTCATGTGAAACTTTTGTTAGCACTGATGGATTAATCATTTTCACAATTAATTGTGAAGTCAGTAGTGCATACAAGATTAAACTGTGTTATGAAAGGTTTTGGGCTACAAGTGTACGTCTATTACTCTGGCAAGTTAGGCTAAATGGATTTAGCTTTGAAGAAGGCAGCCCAAAGCTTGTGAATCAGAATGTTGAATCTAATAGGACTTGTGATCCACTCAAATTCCAAGACCAAAATGAATCAACTTTGCTTCAAGGGTAACTTGGCTCTTAGACCAAAACTAATGCAAATAAAAAGTTGCCTAATCCAAGATTAAATTGTTATTATGAGTCGACTACTATTTTTTGATTGTGGGGAATGGATTGTAAACCAATATTTGGAACGCTTCGTGGCATCCGTTGGGACCAATACAATTGCATTTCCCAGCAAAGTTCTTAACATGTTTTGAGTGTAATACTCCGGACAAAGTGGCAAGGTAAATTTGCAATGGAAGCTGGAAATGGCCTCAAGGTTGAAAGCTCTCTAAGGAGGTTAAGGATATGATGCATGAAAGTGACAGCCTAATCTCTTTGTGCCCAATAGTTGATTCTGAAGTCTTTAAAGTGAGAGATATGAAGGCTATCAAAGGATGGGGACCTAATGCGTCTTGCTCTCGGCTAGTTGGGGTAAATATTTGTCCACGGATATGCTTTCATTTTTTGGTTGTACTTAGCAAGAAAAAACTAAGTACTGTGGACAGACTCAATTTGGTAAGGGTAGAACACGTCCTATGGTCGATCAGAGGTCCTGTAGAGTGGATCCAGAAGAATGTGTGTTTTGTCTTAAGATAATCCAGAAGTGGACTGCAATTGTTTTAAACACAATTAACTTTGCGATCCTCACTTTGGGGATAGCTTAAACGTCAATTAGTTAACTAGAAAGTTAAACAACTTGAACTGAATATATCAACTAGAATCTGAAATCCATAATGCCAATAGTCTTGGCTGTTACTTCAAATTCTGAGCATTATGTAATTTGTGGGCGAATAATCTGCAGTTCTATGTAAAAGTCTCCATCAACTTTTCTCTTAAACTCACAAATGCAAGTGTCTTCATATCCAACAATGTTGATCCTGCACAGGCTTGCCCATCCTTCATAGTACCAAAGTCTGCCATCCTTCCAATGATTAAGAGTTGCAGTCCACTCTCAGCCTTGTTGGTCAACAAGGATAATCTCTTGTGGCAGCGTAAGATTGTGATCTCTCACAACATCAATCGGAACATACTGCATTGACTATCCTCAGCAAAATTTTTTTCTAATCGATAAGCAATACTAGGAATTCCTGTGATGTGTTTGTAATGAAATAGGTGAAATATTAAAGGGAATGGATGAATACTAACATACCAGTTCATCTTTTCTCTTTGCCTTTAATTTTGTAACAAAATAAGGATTTTTTGGCTGGGGAATGCGTCTAGAATTGAAAAGATCACGGCCATAATGGTCAACATTCCTTGTGGTACGACGTTTACCTTTAGCAGCTTTCGCTTCTGCATGATTAACCAAAATCAGAGGTCCAGCAAATGTGATGAAGTAAACTGGTTAATTCTATGAAAAATTATGCTTAAGAATAATGCAAATTTCACAATCTTGTACCATTAAAGCAATCTCTTGATGACAGTCCTGGCTTAAATAATTGATTGAGTTGTGAAACTGACGTTATTTAGTGCTTATTGTATAATCATAGAAGGATCAAGGATGGATCAAAGCCTTAGAAACTTACTATGATCGGCACCTTTGATCATTTTCAAGCCTTTGTAGGAATGCTTTGAAGCAATTGTGTCAAATGGTTTGTCTGTTTTAGCTATTTCCCCGCAACGGATCTTCTGTCCTATACCTTGTGCCACTCTTTGTCTCACTTTTTATTATATTGCTATTTCTCTTTTATAAATATCATGTTTTAGTTTTTTTTTTTGTTTTCTTAAGATCCAATAACTATTAATTCAGTAATACACAAAATTTAACAAAGTCAAAAAATCAAAATGCATAAAAAATGAGATTTTTTATAAATTTTCTGCTGTATTTTTTAATTTTCTATTATATATTACTTTTTTGAAGTTGTTGTATTTATTTTTTACTGAATCAATAGTTATTGAATCTTAAGGAAATAAAAAAGAACTAAAAAGATGATGTTTATGAAAGAGAAATAGTAATATAATAAAAAGTGGGACAGAAAGTGGCATGGGACGTGGCACAGAAGATTTGTTGCGCTATTTCCCCTTCCCCTTTTTCTTCTTCTTTTTCTTCTTTCTCAGTACTATTGTTTTCCTCTTCCATTATGCAATCAAAATCCGCGTCCATTTCAGTTGCATCAGTGTAACTCTCTGCCACTTCTTTCTCTTCTTTTTCAAGCTTATTAGCTCCATTCTCTTTCTTCCCTTCCTTTTTTTTTCAATCTCATTATCTTCCTCCTTTATCTCTAGCTCTACTTCTTTCCCTTACTCTTCTTCTTTTTCAGCATACCTTCTACTATGGTGTTCACCTGTAACAGCTTTAGCTTCTGTATGATTAAGTAAATCAGTGTTAAGTGAATGTATAGTAGGGAAACAGATTAAATAAATGAAATATCTGACTAAATAATTGTTAGGATTCGAGCGTGCAATAAACAACTATTGAGATATCAAGTGCACAACAATTTAATGAGCAAACAAGTCACAAGCATGAAAGATAGACGACACACAATATTTAACGTGGTTCGGCTCCACCATTGAGCCTACGTCCAAGGAGAGAAACTCGTTTTTTATTATGAGAGAAAAACCCTATACAAGAATATAATTTGAACTCAAACCCAACTCTTGTATACCATCTCTCATCTCCTAAGAACCCTCTCTCACACCCTATGTATAAAGCTACATGATGCCCTTGTGTCTCTCTTGTGTGTCCCTTTGTAGTATATCAACCCACCTATTTATAGATAATGTTATTTGGCCAGAAAACCAAATAACAATTGAAAATCAATACTAATTCCTAAACTCATATGGAGTAGGAAATAACATCTAATTCTAGCTAAATAGGACTTTACTTGACTACTACTTCAAGTAACTGAAACCAAGTAGGAAACTAGTTATTTTCCACACAAAACAAGAATTCTACCTAAAAGAAATTAAACCAATTTCCTAACAAATCTCCACCTTGGCAAAAATTTCTTTTAACAACCATTTGCCTTCAACTACCAAATAATATGGTACCAAACTACACACCCGAATCAATATAGTCCTGATACCAAATTGATTCAATCGGCAAATGAACATGTGTAGTTGCCCTGAGTCTAACCTCCTGTTGACTCGAGAGAAGGTGCCTCAATTCACCATCTCCCTTTGTAGGATTTCTTCTCACCACAACTTGCACCACGGGACCCCCTTCTATGAGCTCTCAATTGGTATCAGAGTTTCAGGTTGCAAAAACTAGGCTACTCATTGGCGAGTGGATTCTTTTCGGAGTTGGACCAAGTGAAAATTCTCTTCTTGATGGTGGACCGAAGTGCCAAGGACTTTGGCTAATGTTGGACTAGGTGTGCTATGAGTTTGACAGGGGGTCCGATTGGGATTAGACCAAGAAGTCAAGGGTTGGCAGGGGTCCAGAATGCAGTTTGGATATTGAAGAAGAGTGGGTCCATGATTGGGAGAAGAGATGACCTTAAGTGATAAGATGGGCTTGCGTTGAGTATTAAAGTGGGTTCGGAAAAAAAAGACTTGTAAATTTGGATTTAATGTGGGGGTTACTCATGAAGGGGGAGATTTGTAAGGTTTATGAGTAAAGGGTTGTGTCCCACATTGATCCGAGAGATGGAGAAAGAGCGATTAATATGTAAGTAAGGGCTCAAGACCTAATAGCTTAAACTTTTGGGTCAGAGTTGGATTCCTGACTTACATATTGGACTCTTTGGTGGACTCTCTCAAGATGTTTCTTTCTAACAATAATAATATCAATTCCATGCACATCAAAGCCTTAGAAACTTACCATGCTTGCCTCTTTTGGTCGTTTATAAGCCTTTGTAGACATCTTCCTCTTTTTTTTCTTACTGAGTACTATCATCTTTCTCTTCCATCTTATAGTCAGAATCCTCGTCCATTTCAGTTGCATCAGAGTAGCTCTCCTCCACTTCCTCTTCTTCTTTATCTTCATTAGTTTCTTCCTCCTCTTCCCCTACTTCTTCTTCTTCTTTTTCAACCTTGTTACCGTCCTCCTCTGCCTCCCCTTCTTCTTCTTTTCCAAACTCGTTAGATTTCCCTTCTTCGTCCCATCCTTCTTCACCTCGTCATCTTCTTCAAACCCCTTAGTTTCCTCCTCCTCTTCCTTTACTTTAACAGCTCCAACTCCTTTCTTTTCACAAGCACTGTGGCCAAATAATTTTACGTCATAAACACAATCGCCATCATACTGAAAAACTAAAAAATCTCCCAGCTCCACAGTATTGTCCTTAACAAATTTAGCCCAGCTGTTGTGGAAAATGAAGTCATCTTCAATTCTTCCCACCTGAACAGGCTACTTATTTCCATATCGATCCCTTATGTATGCATTTGGAGATAGCTTTCCTTTCATATACGATGTAAATGTTGATAGGATTTTCTGCCAAGTAAAAAATGACTCAATGTATAGCAAGAATGTAAACGAATCTACTTCAGAAAGTGCATATCTACAACTCTCATCATCACTAGTATTGAACTGATTGTTACTAGTTTATGCTTAAGATAATCTTGTAACGGTCAAAGCAGAAACAAGCAAATAGATCATCAGATGGTAAAAATATGAAAGTCTTTAGAAGGAAACCGATAAGTAAACGAACAATGGATCACATAATTTGCAACTAGTTTTTCATCAAGAGAATCCACTACAGCCTTACTTCAACTTATCAACCTTCCATCACTGCGAATCACTTGATTTTTTTAGCTGCCCCATCCCTAGACAACCCCGATGCGAATACCAAAATTTCTCCACCTTCCTGGCTTGGGCATGGTTCGCTGTTGCGGGTTGCGGTCGCATCGCAGTTTCGGTTATTCCACATCCATTATGGCATATTGGTTGAATATCAAGTGATACACACATTTTAGTACATGAAAATTTTCAAAAAATCTGAAAAAATTACTAAAATTAGAAAATATAAAAAAAGACACAATTTGAAAAAATATCCGAGTCAACTTCGAGTTGATTCGGATGTATTGGCCGATATCATGCATCATGGATTCGAATCAGTCAATATCGACCGAGTCAGAGTGAGTCACCGTGGATATGATAATATCCGCGATTCGGGAATTGGTATTGTACTGGTTCCCTCTGTTCCGGTTACGATTCGGCCGATATGTATCCGTATCCACCGATATTGCTAACCATGGTCTTGGGTATCTGCAAGCCACCTTATCACGTCATATAAACAAAATTCAGCTGCCTCAAGTTTGTCGGATTTCCAATCTACTTTAGCCTATTGGCACTTGGAAGGTTAAAATCCAAGAGTTTCAGATCATAATGAAATTCTTAAGATATTGATATACAAGTAAAACTCAATTATTTGATGATCAGCTCACAATGAAATTCTTAAGAAGAAAAAATTGATCACAAGATCTTGCAGACTATATCATCAAGAATCCATAATACAAGTCACATATGAACTCATCAAACATATATCTTTACCAAATACCAATCAAAATGTTTTCTATATCACACGGTCCACACCCGAACTATAAAATACAATAGGAATGAAAATAAAAAAATTAAAAAGAGAGAGAATGCTAGCAATTACCATTCTTTCTCTAGATCTATCGGGGATGAAAGTTTTGAAACAGGCACGAAGTCTTTTACCATCATACAGGCTGTTGGTCTTCATCCCTGATTCTACTGGATATCAGTTCAATAGTATACACTCAATCGTCCAATAGTTAGCAACTCTACTTACCATCAATCTTCTAATATCCATCAATCTTCTAATATAGGAGATTTCTGTTCAACAAATCAGTAGAAAATCGACCTGCCATGGACGGTGGTTGCTGAAGCCAACTCCTTTAGTACTGGCTCTTCTTGGTAAGTTTTCGATGGCAGGGTAAAAAATTGAGGCAGATAACAAAGTTCTGAAAATCAATTTGTTGTTGCACTTGAACTTCAGAATAGGGGTGATATCGAGTCGAGTCAAACTTAAGTATCGCTATAGTTGAGCTTGAACTTGATACCCAGTAGCAGTACTTGAACTCGAACTTGAACTCAAGTGAGTTGTTTGAACAAAGTTTGAGCTTGACTTGACGTAATACTGGGAAAGTTGGAATTCGAATCAATAGAGCTCGAGAAGTTAGCAAGCTTGATATCGAGCTCGAGTTATAAATATTGCAAATAATCAACCTAAAATGGTAATTTAATTATTTATAACGTATTAATTTTAAATATTACCCTGAGTACTTGATAGAGTTCGATGAACTCTCGAGTATATGGTATACATACTCTAACTTGACTTGAAACCTCAATCAAGTTGCTCGAACTAGACATTGATCGAGCTTGAGTCAAGCAGTTGACCGAAATACTTGCGAGTTCGAGTCAATGTGCTCGATTGAATTGCACCTCTATTTCAAAATAATAGGGGCTTCATTATTGATAGGGCAAAATATACTTTAGCCCCTCGGTGGTTTAGCGATTTTTTACATAACCTCCATATAGTTTCAAAAACTATATATAACACCCTCATAAGTGACATAAATGATTGTTTATAATGGAGTCCATGAAAATGTCAAAATTACCCTTATTTAAAAACTAAAATGGCCGAAGTAACCAAAATATATAAATATAATATGCATGACACTCTAACTGTGTATGGTTTTATATTTTACCATATAACTCCCTTATGGTTTAGTGGTTTACCATACAATTCCTTTATGTTTTTCAAAAAATATAGATAAAACCCCCCCATGATTAATAAATAATTTTCAAATTTACATAGGGGTAGTTTTGATATTTTAGTTGTCTCTTTGATCATTTTGACACTTTAATCCAAATCATGAGGGGGTTATGTATAAATTTTAAAAATATAGGAGGGTTATGGGAAAAAGTTCTAAACCACAGGGGAGTAAAGTATACTGATATCTTTTAGTCCCAGGAACTTGATGTCCGTGCTTTTGTCTTGGATATCAATCAAGTGTAAGAATTCAAATGAGAAATGGTAGGTTCATGTTGAATTTATTCATGATTGTTAGTTTTTGCTAATGTACCGAGTCAATCCAAGACTGATCAAAGAGATGATCCCCTCTAGATCTCATACCTTTTCTGGAACTCCTTGCGTGGGGTTTGATGGGGAATATTGGTCGCCCTAGACAACATTTCTCAAGAAAATTCCAGGGCTAAACTTGAAATTTGAGAGGATTAATTCCTGAATTTTCAGGTGAATTTTTAATCCTTGGTTGAACAAAGACATGCAATACTTATAAATGGCTGGAGACAGGTTGATTTCGTTCATAATATTCTCACTATATAAATGTAGGCAAAAACTTCCGAGGTCCGACCAACACACACACATATTGGTGTTGTGTAGTACTCGAAAGTGATTTTTCCGATTACTACGTTATTATCCTTTTAGGCTTTTTGAAGTATAAAGTTTTAATATCAAATGTTTTTAAGAAGTAAACTTTCTTCAATATCGAGGTCTCATTGGGATATTGTTAAATGGTTACTGTGCTGCGAAAAAAAATAGAGAGAGAGCACCTTTTGATGAACAAAAGAGTTAATGAAAGGGTTACTGGATTCCTTAAATAAGGCATGGAGATTTGAAACTTTAAACAACAAACTCTTTTTTTATTTAATGCTGAAATGAGAATAAAAAATTACTAGATAGTTTTCAGTTTAAACTATCAAATGAAATTATTTGATGGTTGATTACAAAAAAAAAAGAACAAAATTATATGATGGTGTGCTAGAACTTTCATGAAAATATGATGCTGCTTACCCAAAAATCACTTTGTACTACAATTTCTATTATGAATAAGATATGTGATGTTGCAAGTGAAGTAACATTTTATTACTATTACGTACTTAAATAATGGCATCATCACTCATAGATACTCGAATCCACCTATATAAATATAGGAAAAATGCCTATTATATTGACTTCCCAAAATATTTGTTTGAATAATTACAACGTTGAGGAGATAATTGCATTAAAAGATCCAGAGGTTCTAAACAATTAAACATAAATCAATCTTGAAATGCAGATTGTTATCCAGATCCGAACATAAATAGACATTTACAAATTTGTTAGGTTCTTTCAATAACAAATTAAAGTAAACTCCTCCGACAAACAACCTTTTATTTTCTCCTTTGTACATTACAACAAACAGAAGAGCAACCCCCATACTCAATAACCATCAAGGCAAACCAAACAATAGCACACCACATACTTTTGAGTTGATTTATTCAACATTTCTTGTATATGCTAACTCAAGTGTTCAAGATTCGTTTGAATCTTACTACTAAGAATTGATCGTGTATTATCATTGTGTTTTTTTTGGAAGACGTTTGTATAACTCTTCTGTTAGTACGCTTCCGTGTCACTAAGCAAGAATGTCTATGTCATTAGTAACGCACGCGTCTAAAACTTGTCTCTCTTCCTTCTCTCTATAACACTTCTAATCAAAATCTTCTTTATCTCTCCCATGGGAGAGAGATCAAATCTAGTCTTTTCCCTTGAGAGGAAGTACTCTTTATAGTTTTAAATTTGTCTTATTTAAATAAATTCTTTCCTAAGATTTTCTAATGGGAGATTCTTCTCTCCGAAGATCTCCTAGCGAGAGTTTCTTTTTTTCTTTTTTTTTTTTTTAGATTGTTCTAGTGAGAGTTTTATTCTCTTCTGGATTTTTTCTTGTAAGAGGTTTTTAGGTTTTATCTTTGTGAAATTTGAGATTTTGTAAATCTAAAATCTAGTTTCTTAGATCTAAAATTTCTCCATTATTGTCAGATCTAAATTTCTCTTTGAACTTGAACTAGTTTTAATCAAATCTGATTGTCAGCAGGCATGCACTGATGTATTGGGTTAGAGTGATTCATTCGGATGGAAGATATATAAGAGCATTAATGTTATCTTTATTTCTGTTGTTTATTTAGATCTATTAGATCTATTAATTTCACATCTATATGTATTAGTGTCATGTTTGTTTGATGTATTTTTTGTCATTAGTGCAGATTTGTTTAAATGAAATGATCTTTTCTATCAAAAAAAAAAAAAAGAAGCAAGAATGTCCACATACAGTCAAGCCCACATACAGTGAAGGAAGTCTTCTCTCTTCCTTCTTTCTATAACTCTTCTAATCAAAATCTACTTTATCTCTCCAATGGAAGAGAGACCAAATCTAGTCTTTTTCCATGGGAGGAAGTACTCTTTATAGTTTTTAATTTGTCTTATTTAAATAAATTCTCTCCTAAAATTTCCTAATGAGAGATTCTTCTTTTCTAAGATCTCTTAGTGGGAGTTTTTTTTTTTTTTTTTTTTTTTAGATTGTTCTAATGAGAGTTTTATTCTCTTCTGGATTTTTTCTTGTGAGAGTTTTTTAGGTTTTATCTTTGTGAAATTTGAGATTTTGTAAATCTAAAATCTAGTTTCTCAGATCTGCAATTTCTCCATTATTGTCAAATCTAAATTTCTTTTTGGATTTGAACTAGTTTTAATCAAATTTGATTGTCAGCAGGCATGCATTGATGTATTGGGTTAGAGTGATTCATTCAGATGGAAGATATATAGGAGCATTAATGTTATTTTTATTTCTATTATTTTTTTAGATATGCTATATCTATTAATTTCAGATTTATATGTATCAGTGTCATGTTTGTTTGATTTTTTTTTTGTCATTAGTGTAGATTTATTTGAATGAAATGATCTTTTCTATCAAAAAAAGCAAGAATGTCCATATACAGTCAAGCCCTATTCCAATGCTAAACCCCAATTTCACATATGTGTTTGGATTGAGAGATTTGACTAAGGATTTAAAATCCTCTCAAATCCCTCTAGTTGTTTATATTATTTAGGCGATACTTGAATTTATAATTTACAAATTGTTCTATTATTTAAAATATATTTTAATAGTTGGTGTATTAAAAATTCAAATGCCTATCAAGTAATCCAAATAATTAGAATGATTTAGATGAATTTCAAATCCTTTGTTAAAATTTTCAAACCAAATGAAACTCGTTGAATTCAAAACGTTATTTCTTGCACCTCCGGACACTCCTCCGCGATTGAGAAGCATATCAACTTACAACTTTTACACATCAAATATCACAGGTCATTTCTCGCACGATTTATCAAATAAACGGAAATAGGAACGCCAATGCTGGAAGGATTAAGGAAGATCATACCTGAGATGTAATGCAATCTACCAATGAGAAAAATAGGACAATCATTTGCAACATTTAGGATTTAAAGTTAGAGTTAGCAATAAACCTGGCAGCAAAAGATCAAGAGGTACCATGCGTTGAACAAATTGATCATAAAGTACAGAATTCAATTCGGATTACAAACTTCTGAATAATTTTTATCCTATAAATCACTTTATATTTTCTCCATTGAACATCACAACCAATTCAACCCCACACTAAATGCCATCAAGGCAAACCAGACAATATCACACTAATACGAACCTTTTCTCCTTCCTTATTCACTTTTTGGTCCTTGAAAGTCTGACACGATGTGGTTCATTAAGCCAACATTGCTATAGGCTCGTTAAAAGAAGAGACTTTGATCCTTTTCTGAGTCTCATCCTCCAGTGTTGTTAAAGATTGATACTCAACTTTTCCAGCTAACATTTTGTTTAATCCCAAATAAAGACACACACCAA